GGAGTGGTTATAGTAGCTAAAGGCACATTTGGGGTTAAACATTTTCAGAATGGTATAACCTCTTGAGGTAAGAGTGCCCTCTGGGGCCTCTGGCACCATAACAACTTAATTTAGATGAAGTTGTTTTTGTGCCTGAAGTGTCCCTTAAAGACAGTATACAAATCTAGCACATGCAATAAAGACCAAGTAGCAATGCATACATTGCATTTATTGTAACTTTAGGATGGAAAAAAACAACATACTTGAAATCAGGAAGACTGTATATTTCTCTTCTATTTATTTAATAATCAGTTTCAGAAATGTTGTATGGATATTAATTGTTAGTGTGTTGGCACTGATTTGTAATGTTGGTGGCATTTTATGTATTTGCATGTTATGGTACTCCATTAGGTTCAGGGGCACCTCACGCCATAAAGTTCAAGATGGGCATGGTGCAAGCTTTTGTTGTTGATTGACTGTAGTAGTTGTATTTCTGTGTTGCCGGGATGGTACGTATTATCCATGTAATTTATACCCTTTTATTTGTTGCCTTATTTTACACCAGTTGCTACAAATATATTTAGAAAAACTAATTTGCCACCCAAAAATATTTGATATCTTTTTCTTAGGTACCAAATAATTTGTGGTGAGACGAAATACAATACAACTGCCCACAATTTAATGCAGACAAAAAAATTACTGTTGTACATCACCTGCATATTCATATAGTTGGACTTTGGGAAATCCACCTTGGACACAGACGTTAAGAGTAGAGTTGAGCGGACACCTGGATGTTCGGGTCCGGCGGGTTTGGCCGAACTTTGAAAAAAAGTCTGGGTTCGGGCTCGACTTGACCCACGAACTTGACCCCGAACCGCATTGAAGTCAATGGGGACCCGAACTTTTGGGCACAAAAATGCCTCTAAAAAACTCCTGGAAAGGGCTAGAGAGCTGCAAAAGCAAATAAAATGGGGGTAAAAGTAGGACAAGTGCCCTGCAAACAAATGTGGATAGGGAAATCACTTAAAATAACATAAAAATTAAAAATACAGCTGAGCCATAAAATAGCACTAGATAGAATCTTTGATTTTAGCTTTGGAAGAACATAAATTAAAATCTAAAGCATGGCTGTCAGGAGGATCACCAGAATTATCAATTTGAGAGAGGGTTGGAGTGCAGGATATTCTCTTTCGTTGTTCAAACTGAGCTCAACTCCTGATGCATGGAGAAAAGGCCTTCACAAGCCTCTGCTATTGTGTACATAGTTTATACTACATGTTGAGAAGGCGGTGACCGTGGCGGTGTAGGTGGAAGCGGCGGTGGAGGAGGAGGAGGTAGCCAACACTATTTATATATATCTATTTTTTATTTTAATTGGGGTAGCCCCCAAAATATTGGGACATACAAAAAAAAGAAACATTTGTGGCCTGTGGTGCATTTCTTGCAGT